GAATGTGCAGCCTATTACACTAGTATCTGTCTGTCTGATATTAGTTCATGAAGACAAATGATGATATAGGAAGGATAAATCATCAGGAGCGGGCTGATATTACATTTCTATATTTCTATAATATATATTTCTATTTAGCTTTAATTTATTTTTATTTAAGTTTTAGTTTTAGAAATGTTAGTACTTCAACTTCAACCTATTATTTCAATTATTTCCTAATTGTTTTAACATTTTGTAAAGTTTTATAATCTAATATTTTTATTGTATTTAATTGTGACTAGGCAGCTCAAACACTAGAGCATGACGCTAGCAACACCGAGGTCATGGGTTTGATTCCCCGGCAATGTATGAACTTGAATAAAATGTATACCTTAAATGCAGTGTTGCTTTGGATAAAAGCATATACAAAAAATATTTCAGCAGAAACCGTTTTTAATAGTTGTTGTTAAAAAAAAAAAAAAGTAACAACACTGTTACACACATTAAGTAATGACACATTTTTCAGATTTATGTTTATGAAAAACTCTAGATAAGAGCTGCTTTTACAGCTGGTTTGGAAACAGTGTGTAGTATGGGATCAAGTGAACTACCACTGCACTCCAACTGGAACCAGCACATTTATCTCTCTCTCCCCCAGAGGAACATTTCATTGCTCTCAGTTCAATTAAATCTCATTTAAAGATGAAGTCATTTTAGCTATAGTATTTTCACCTATCCCAGCTTAAACCCTCATCGATCAGTTTGTTTGAGCTTCCAGACATGGGGTGCATTTCCTAAAAGGGTAACGCTTTATAATAACTTTCATTAATAAATCATTAACACACATTATGTAATGCTTAACTGATCATTATTTCATATATATATATATATATATATATATATTCACAAATCTCGAAATGTGATATAATGTGCTTGTTAATGTTCAGGGGTCTATTTGATTACTATAAGGGAACACAATTCAATCTGTTTATATTGCATTGATTTGATAAATTAAGTATTTTCTTGAAAATTTGTTTTCCCCTCCTGTTGATGTATGACTAAAGGAATATTATGTTTAATGATGCACGATATCATACTAATATAAGTGTTGAGGTGATAAAAACATGTTTTGCACCCAAATTACAATGTTAGCTAAACTTAACTAACCACCCTTTACACAAACATTGTTAAAGTAGCTAAACGTCCAGTGCCAATAATTCATATGATCATGCACATCTTCAAAATCTACAAATTATTTTAACAGATGTTATGCAATGATTTAAAAGCTTGTGTTAATGCACAACACTTTAGCTGCTGTTGAGGTGTGACACGGGTAAGTTAGGGACAGGTTTGGTGGGATGGGTAGGTTAAAGGTTAGTTAAGGGGTCAACAAGTATACAGGGGTCTATTTGATTACTATAAGGGAACACAATTCAATCTGTTTATATTGCATTGTTTTGATAAATGAAGTATTTTCTTGAAAATGTGTTCTCCCCCCAACCCCCCCCCCCCACAAAAATATAATG